GTAAACAACATTAAACTTTCTGCTAATTTTTATAAAAGATCCACATGGCCTTTTTTTTTCTCTTATAATAAACCCTTATTTGCTAATTATTAGATGTTTTCTGCTTTTTCTCTTTAGAAAACTTAGTTTAACTAGTCTCTGCAATTGTGTCCTTTGAGAATAAAGAATATAATAGTATAGAATAGAATAAAGAGTCTTACAGAATAGAATAATAAAGTTAGCACAATAGAGAAGATATATAGAAGAGAAATAACAGTGAGTTCTCATTGTCCTGAGGTGGCTGAAGTAAATGTCAATCTCATTACGTTTCATTTCATTTATTTCCTGTCTCACTAGTTTACAAAATGCTGACTCTTTTCTCCTGGACAAAAAGTGAGTTATGGTCATGTGAGTAGTGAACAATAGTTATTTGTTTTGACACCAGCTTTTCCTGGGTGGTTAGAAACCTGGTGAAGTTATGATTTTCATCTATGAACTTGAATTCAAAATTATAGTATTAGCATTTCCTAGAAACTACATTACAGATTTCTCCAATGCAAAACTCTGGAGAACACAATCCCTTTACCACAATTATCATACTTAAAAACAGGTATATGAAAATGTTAGGCAAAACATATAAGACTAACACATTTAGAATAAGAAGATAGATTTGTCAGAAGAGTATAATTTTCTGAATCTAAATCTGGAATTAACACTCAGTATCTTATTTTCCACATGACACTAAATAGGGTTTAACAGGGAGATTCAAACTCACAGTACAAGATATTTTTATTAGATGAAGATGTAATGGGGAGGTGAAGAGCCTTTCAGTAGAAGAGATTTAAAAAATTGAACTCCAGGCCGGGTGCAGTGGCTCACGCCTATAATCCCAAAACTTTGGGAGGCTGAGGCGGGCAGATCACAAGGTCAGCAGATCGAGACCATCCTGGCTAACACAGTGAAACCCTGTCTCTACTAAAAATAAATAAATAAATACAAAAAATTAGCCAGGCGTGGTGGTGGGCACCTGTAGTCTCAGCTTCTCGGGAGGCAGAGGAAGGAGAATGGCGTGGATCTGGAAGGCGGAGCTTGCATGAGCAGAGATCACACCACTGCACTCCATCCTGGGTGACAGTGTGAGATTCCATCTCAAAAAAAAAAAAAAAAAAAAAAAAAATTTAATTCCAGGCTCAGCTCTGCTACAAACTTAATAGATGACTTGTAGCAATTTTGGTCCTCAGTTTTCCCAAATGTAAAATAAGACTACTTCTACTTTCAGTATTTTATTTTCAGTAATATAACTGCGTATGGAAAAAGTCCTAGGTAGCACAAGAAAAGGAAACTTCTTAAAGTGAATAGCAACTTAAAAATTTTCCCCTTGGTTTGTTTGGAAAACTCACTTTTTGGCTAGTATAACCATCCTTAAGAAACAGAACATTTTTTCTTAAAATTTCTTCTCTTTTATATAATGAATATTCTTCATCACTAGCATTATCTATTAATGACAACAGTCCATTTGCCGCCAGTGAATCTCTTTAACAATGACTCATAATTTAAATCCATCACCCGCTGTGAATGCTCCAAGTAAACACTGATTTGTGGGTTTATAAATCACATGGCTGTGTAGATTAAATTGATTCAGCCTGTTCCTTGTCTACACTGCTTTTATGCTGTTGTTTTAAATGCCTAGACTACCATAGTCAGCCAATTGGCATTTTAAAGTCACTGAATGAAGAACTATCAAGCATTTCACTTTTAACTTGAAATTTTTAAAAAAGCAAATGAAGTCCCAAATGTATGTACGTATATGTATGGATTTATGTAGTATATATGTACGAGTGTGTGTGTGTGTATGAATCATGGTTTTTTAGAATTATTTATATGTAAAAATGATAGCCTTCCCTTGCATAAATCAGGTGATACAGCAAGATTAAAAACCGATGGAAAGTCCTACTGAATTATCTGTTTGGTAACATATAAAGAGAACGCTTTTGTCCACAAAATACATGTCTTGGTATAATCCTATAGAAATTGGTAGTTTGGGCCAGGAGTGGTGGCTCACACCTGTAATCCCAGCACTTTGAGAGGCCAAGGTAGGAAGATGACTTAAGCCCAGTAGTTTGAGACCAGCCTGGTCAACATTGTGAAAACCCTGTCTCTACTAAAACTACAAAAATTGGCTAGGTGTGGTGGCCTGTGCCTGTAGTCCCAGTTACTTGGTAGGCTGAGATGGGAGGATCACCTGAGTTCAGGAGGTGGAGGTTGCAGTGAACTGAGATCGCATCACTGCATCCCAGTGTGGCTGGAAGACCCTGTCTCAGGAAGAAAATAAAAAAAAAAACAGACAAGAAAAAGAAAAGAGGTGTATGAGTAGAAAGACATATAGCAATAGCCATTTTGTTTAGAGGTTCTTAAACAGGTGGGCTTCTTTTTGGAGTGTGTTTCTAGGTTCCCCAAAATTGTAGGGATGTGCTGTATGTCATACTAAGCATTTTAATCAGATTCTCAAAAGGATACACTGTCCAAAAATTAATGAAATGATACATTTTAGTCTATGTATGAGAAGTAATTTGACTTAGTCACACCATTAGCCTGCAACAACATTGATAGTTCCAGAACTCAAATTCCTAAGGCTTCTCACGCTATTGTGCACTCAAATGCTAATTCTTTTTTTTTTTTTTTTTTGAGTCAGAGTCTCACTCTGTTGCCAGGGTTGGAGTGCATTGGTGTGATCTTGGCTCACTGCAACCTCCGTCTCGCCTTCCTGGTTCAAGTGATTCTCGTGCCTCAGCCTCCCGAGTAGTTGGGACTACAGGCACCTGCCACCATGTCTGGCTAATTTTTGTATTTTTAGTAGAGATGGGGTTTCACCATGTTGGCCAGGTTGGTCTTAAACTCCTGACCTCAAGCGATCTGCCCGCCTCAGCCTCTCAAAATGCTGGGATTACAGGTGTGAGCCACCACAGCCACAGCCGGCGCAAATGCTAATTCCTGACAAGCAGAGTGTCTTTCTTAAACTTGCACCATCTTGTGAATAAATGTTGCTGCTTTATTTGTTCCAAAGTTATAGTGAGCTTATAGAAATTTCAAGGACACCATTTCAATTTTAACATTTATTGCTACCAAAATTAGTGATTAAAGGCTTATATTTTAAGAATGATCCGCAGAGAATTAATCCCTCAAAATAAAGCAAAGTTCTCTTAAACATGCAAGATGAAACCCTGCAGAAGCAAAGATGACCTATGTTTAACATTTAACATTTGAACACCTACTGGAACTTAAATAAGCGAGGAGGCTCATCTGGAATGGCAGACCAACTTTGAAACATCATCTTTCTTTTGAAAAATCTTCTACCTGTTTTATTGAAATTAGGTGCCTTAATACAATCACATAAATAAATTATGATCAGTATAGAGTCAGTATTGCACATTAAGCCTGGACTAACCCAAAGTTTCTTTTTACTAGTTCTTTCTGTTAAATGTTTTCATGAAAATTCTTTTTAATCTAAAACTGTTGTCAAGACATACTAGTTATTAAATATGCCTTCAGAGCTAAATCTGCATGAGCATTCCACATTTCCCATCCTTTTCTTGGATTCATCTGCTTTCCACAGAAAGGAAAATTTCAAGGAGAGGAAGAAATATCTACAAGTAAATATCATTCCATATGGGTTAGCATGCTTGATTGTTATTGGTGAATTACAGCAAAAAAATGACAGTAGCATCTATCATGTTGTTTTGTGTAACATTTTAACAATGGTAAGGTAAGTCACACTGCTGATTTCAACAATGTGTTATATTTGAAAGCAATTGATAGCTGACTACTAATAAAATCACTAAATTGTATGAATGCCTTAATTCTTTTTTTTTTTTTTTTTTTTTTTTTTTTTTGAGACGGAATCTTGCTCTGTCACCCAGGCTGGAGTGCAGCAGTACAATCTTGGCTCACTGCAACTTCTGCCCCCCGTGTTCAAGCAATTCTCTGCCTCAGTCTCCTGAGTAGCTGGGATTACAGGCACCCACCACCACACCCACCTAATTTTTGTATTTTTAGTAGAGACGGGGTTTCACCAACTTGGTCTGGCTGGTCTTAAACTCTGACCTCGTGATCCACCCGCCTTGGCCTCCCAAAGGGTTGGGATTACAGGCGTGAGCCATGAATGCCTTAATTCTTAAGATAGTAATGGGGAATACTGTTCTGAGCCAAGAATGTGATAGCCAGGAAACATAAGTTTATAAGATCACACAGTGTAGTTCTAACAGTGACTTTAAACCCAATAGCTCCCTATGGAAACTCAGGATACCAAAAAGTGCAACAGTAATATTCTGGATTCTAAACTTAAGTTTGAATAAGGATATCATATTTCCTCTTACTTAGAAGGTAAAATACAGGTTTTACTAATCAAGAATGTGACTAGATGGCTAGAGTTTCAATATCTCCATCATAAACCAATGTGTGACAAAGGAGATAAATCTTATATTCAGTCCCTACTGACAGACATGATGTCCTTTGGTCTCAAAGTGCAAATTAACTAAGTATCCCAAGAGACTACAGCCTAAGACAAACTCTACCTGGGAAAAACAAAACAAAACAAAATAATAACAATAACAGAGACAAAAATACTGAAAAAGGTATTAGTATGTATATCCCTTTATAATTTATAGTAGGAATATTTTCATTACCATGCAATAGTGTTAAATTAAATAAAGATGAAAGGGATCTATTAAATCGTTATGTCTAATGCATGCTAAGGGAAGGCATATTTCCCTGGAGAGAGGAATAAAAAGAAAAATATATATAAAAACAGATACTATAATAACATTTGAGGAAGGTTCAGTTAGCATACAGTCTTCAGATATCAAATAGAGGTATTAGCATAAGTAGTGGAGACGATTAGATATTGACACAAAGTACCCGTATCAATACAGAGTCTTGTGCTGTGTTTTCAAACATCTAATATATTTGCCTGCAGCGCTTGCAAATTAAAGCTACTCTGTTTATACACAACATAGAAAATGGAATTTGAGCTTCAATGAATTTTTAATTTTGTTCAATCTTGCATTTGTTCAACCAAAAACAATTTAAAGAGGAACACGACGATCAGCCTTAGATTGAGCAAGTTCAGCTCCTCACTAGGGAGTTCTTGAATCCACCATAAAAATCAACAGTGTGCATCTAATAGTTTTCTTTTAATTTGAGAACTGAAAAGTGAATCATCACATCAAATATTCTTCAGGGTCTCTTTTGTTTCCAGATTAAACATGTAATGTGACCTGTCATCTTGCCACATTCTCACATTTCCATTTTAAATAATCATAAATAAGAAAACCTTACTATTCTTTGGCATAACACAGCTGTTTGATTCCGCTGAGTTTCAAAGTCTTAGAAATTGCACTCATTCCTTCTTTAGAGTCCTGCTTTATGGCAAAAGTTTTCAACTGAAAGACTCTTTATTGTATTCAAATCTTGTCCCATATGAGTTGTTCTGGTTACTTAGTTTATGAAGAGTCTTGGATAGTGAATTGGGTCCACAACAGAAAACACCAACTGTTTTCCTAGAACAAGAGAAGAGGAAATAGAAAATCAGGTGTAAAATTAGGCAGAACGTAACAAGAAATATGTTTTATTAGCATGGTTTAAAGTATTAACAAAGTCAATTTCTTGCTGTTTTACATATGGAAAACAACTTTCTAATTATTTCCAAATAAAAATGTCAACCAGGAAAATATTTTATTTACCTCATACTTTTCATTCTAGAATTTAGGGTAATTCAAAGAATGTACCTATGAGCACAAATATGCTTATTATCAGGCAGAGATTGATTAGTTTGCCTTAGTCTTTTCATGACTTGTCATTGGTGAAACCAGCAACCTCATTAAGAGCAACGATTGATAGATGTCAATTGCTAAACAGCTGACCTCTGAATAGATGTTCAGTCCACACTAGGCAACATAAATTCTTCTTTTATTGTACACTTTACACATAGTTATCTAAAATTCCTACATGGATTTGCAAAAGCAGTGATGAATAAGGAAGGAAAGAAAAAAGATATTACCAATTTGAAATAGTATTTTTAAGCAACTAATTTATATTCACAGCAAAACAAAAAACATATTCATCTAGTTCTTTTTTATTTATGCACTGCAATAATGGTAACAAATGCCAAGCAGTTTTTATTATTCTCGAATATAAAATTTTAGTAGTTAAATAATACATATCTCTAACAGATAGACTAAATAAATCCCAGGAAATAAATAATATTTCAAATTGACCTTCTTCCCAAGTTTGATTTGCATTTGATTCTTCCTAGGACGTCAAAATGATTAATATTTCATCTCATATCTTGGGAAAATCCAGTATGTCTTGATTATCTCAGAATAACTCATGCTGAACAAAAGACACTGAATCCATTAAAACTGGTACCAAAAATTAATAGTAAATACTGAAAAAAAGTTATTAAAACTTTTTACCTTGAAAAATGAAACTAAAATCTGTGAAAATAGAATTTTACTTGGAGCCACGATGGGGTAATAGGGATCAGATCTACCCTCTTACATTAAAAATCTATAAAAAAGCAAACCAAATAGAGGAAATAAGTATTTTCAGACACTGAATAATAGGTATACTATTATATACCTATTATACAGCTATATCTATTATTATATATTATATTATATATTACATATATTATATAGTTATATACTTATTATATGCTATTATTAGATAGCATGGAACTATGATCCCTGAAAAGGGAAGAAAACATACTAAGCACAGTCACTGTCTTTGCTTATTGCCTGGAGGCAATCTACTGGCTGCAGCACAGAGAGGGGAAACTCCAGCAAAGACTGGTGATTACACTGAGGAGACAAAGAACGGAGTTCACTGAGGCCAAACAGCTGGAATTTGCGGAACAGAATATGGAAGAGAAGGGAGATCTACAGAAAGACGCCTTGGAGATCAAGAGAGAAGAGTCCTCAAGTCTTTGTTTGATTAATAATCTGTTCATATATGAGAAGAAACTTCATGAATGTGGATAAAGAGCTATCAGAGATCAACAGGACAAATAATTGCCAGAGTTTACACAGGACTGCTAATAATTTACATTCACACACACCAGAATAGCAAGTCCTATAAATACAGGGCAATGGGTTGTATTCTCAGAAAGGTTATCACCTTATTTGCAAGGAGTAGAGGGGATATTGGTAAAATTAAGCTTGGACCGAAGGTTGCTCTGGACCTCCACTAACAAATCTTAAAAGTGAGCCTTGTAAAGATACAACTGAACCTGAGTAACTTAACTGCATGTCAGAACAAGTCCAAAACTATTAAAATAAATAAATCAAAATTTGGCACCAAACATTTCAAACTTTAAAATGTACAGAAATCAATAAAAAGTACCAGGAATTCGAAAAGCAAAAAAGTATGAACTATAACTAAGAGTGTTATGGGCTGAAGTGTGCCCCTCCAAAACCCGTAGGTTGAAGTCCTAGCCCTCAGTGCTTCAGGATGTGACTGCATTCAGAGACAAGGCTTTTAAGGAGGCAATTTAAGTTAAAATGAGGGTACTAGGGTAGGCCCTAATCCAATCTGAATGGTGTACTTATAAGAAGTAATTTGAACACAAAAAGAGACACCAGGGAAGTGCATACGCAGAGAAAAAGCCATGTGAAGAGGCATCAAGAACGTAGCCATCTGCAAGTCAAGGAGAGAGATCTCAGGAAACCAGTCCTGCCTGCATCTTGATCTTAAACTTCCAGCCCCCAGAACTATGAGAAAATAAATTGCTGCTGTTTAATCCACCCAGTCTGTGGTATATTGCTATGGTAGCCCTAGCAAACTAATTCAAGGAGAAAGAGCATTCAACAGAAACAGACTCAGAATGATAGACGTGATCATTGAAACAGTGATGATATACAGGCTTCGTATATTCAAAGAAAAGCATAATCACGATGAGACAATAAATGGAATATTTTTTAAAGGCCCAAACATAAGTTCTCGAGATGGAATGCAATATCTGAAATGATAAATACACTAGATGAGTTAATAAAAGAATAGACATTGCTGAAGAAAAAGTAAACTTGAAGAAACAGCATTAGAATCTATCCAAATTGAAACCCACAGAGAACAAAAACTGAAAAAGAAAGAAAGAAAGAAAAAGAAAGAAGAAGCACAGAGCATCAGTGGTCCGTGGGATAACACCAACTAGTCAAAAATACATGTAACCGCAGTCCAACATGAGAGAAGACCAAGGGAGAAGAAATAAATAAATAATAAAAGATCTCATAAATCTCAAGGAGAATAAACACAAAGGAAACTATACCAAGGCAATTGATAATAAAATGCTAAAAACAAGTGACAAAAAAAAAAACATAAAACCAAACAGACTGGGGGAAAAGACACATTACAAATCATCAACAGAAAATATAAGAATGAAATACAAGAATGAACGTGAACTTCTTATCATAAACTATGCAGTCAGAAGGCAATGAAGTGATATCTTCAAAGTACTAAAATATAAAACATCAACTATTATGTATCAAATTTTATGCCAAACAAAAATGATTTTTCAGAAATTAAGATGGAATAAAAACTTTTTATACAGACAAAAGCTGAAAGAATTTATTGCCAACAAACCTGTACTATAAAGTACACTAAAGAAAACTACTCAAGAAGTAGGAAAACAAAATTAGATGGAAATTTGAACCTAACCAAAAGAATGAAGAACAGCAAAATAGTAAAATCTGTAAGTAAATATAAAATATGTATTTTGTCTAATTTCTAATCTTTTTAATACGTGCTTGATGTTTAAAACAAAAATACTAATAATGAGAATTATAACATATGTATATGTAAGGTGAATGCAACAATAGCAAAAAGGATGGAAGAAAATGGAAGTACATGAAGTGTTATAATATTATTCAAAGTACCAGCCTGGCCAACAGAGTGAGATCCCATTTCTACAATACATTTTAAAAATTAGCTGAGCATGGTGGTATGCAACTGTAGTTCCAGTTACTGAGGAGACTGAGGTTGGAAGAGCTCTTGAGCCCAGGAATTCAAGATTGCAGTGAGCCAAGATCATGTCACTGCACTCTGACCTGGGCAACAGAGCAATACTCTGTCTCTAAAAAATAAATATAAACATAAACATGAAAAATAAAATAGGCTGTGATAAGCTAATGATGTATACTGTAAACTTAGAAGAATGTTTCTCTAATTGGCTTCATCAGAATCATTTCAGAGACTTCATAGAACACAAATAGGTAGGTCTCCCCATCCCTACAGTTTCTGATTTGGCAGATCTTGGATAGGGCTCAAGAACTTGCTTTTCTAACAAGATTCCAATTGATGCTGGTCTGAGGAATCCAGGCTGGGAACCAACGACCTGAAGCAATTACTAAAAAGGAAAAAAAAATACAGAGGTATAGCTAACATTAGAGAAAAAACGTGGAATAATAAAAAATACTCAACCCAAATCAAGGTAAAAAAAGAAAATAAAACAAAGAAAGAACAAATAGATAAGTACAAAGCAATGGTAAACTGCTAGATTTCAACCCAACCGTATTTTCATTAAATTGAATGTAAATGATTTAAACACTGAAACTAAAAAGTTTCAACATAAAGCAAAAACTGATGGAACCGCAAAGACAGATAAATTCATAATTATAGTTAATTATTTCAATACTCTCCTCTCAGTAATTAATACAAGCAGACAGAAATTCAGCAAGCATATTGAAAACTTGAATACCACTATCAACCTATTGGAACTAATTGGCATTTATAGAATGCTTTATCTAACAATAATGGAATACCAATTATTTATAAGTGCATATGGAACATTCACCAAGACTGAACATATTCTGGGCAATAAAACAGGTGTCAACATTTTAAAGGATTAGAATCACAAGGAGTTCATTTTTAGATCAAATCACAATTTAAGTAGAAATTAAGAACAAAAACATACCTGGAAAATTTCTACATATTTGGAAATAAAACATTTCTAAATAACCCATGGGTCAAAGAAAAAAACAACATAAAAATAAAACATATTTGAATAAGATGAAACTGAAAACAAACAAGTCAAAATGTATAAGAGTTAGCAAAAGTGATGTTTAGAGGAAAACATGTAGCATTAAACACTTTTATTAAGAAAAACAGTCTGAAATCAATGACCTATGTTTCCATTTTAAGAAACTAGTAAAAATTTTTTTAAAAAGCTAATCAAACCTAAAGTGGGCAAAAGAAATAAAAATATATAAAACTAAATGATTTTATACTTAATGAAATTTAAATTACTATTGAAACATAATGTAGCTTCCATTAAAATAAAAAGAGAATTGAGTCATTTTGTTTCTTTGTGTAAACTTTCTGTCAACACGGTATGATGGCAATAAGATACCATTGTTTTCTTGCTTGGCTTTGACAGGGCAATTATAGAACTAGTTTGGCAAGTTTTTCAGATTTCCTAAAGGTATTTCTTAAATACCTGATAATAAAATCAAGTATTAATTATAAAATAAATAATAATAAAAATCATTATTTTTAAATCACCCAGGATACTATGATTTTTGTGGTTTTATTAACATTTTCTTTTGCAATTATTAACTAGCTTAACTCTGATAGCCTTTGTGTGTATGTGATCTGAGGAATTCCCTAATGTCACTCTCACTAACTTAATGAAATCTTACTTTTTTTTTTTTTTTCAAATTCTATAAGCAATCTTTGCAATTCATTTGTACTAAATTTGCATTACAGTGCTGCAATCCAACAATTATCTAGAGACCTCTCTACATAACCTTTGATGGAATGGGTGGAGGTAGAATCGGGTACTAAGTAGAAAATGTGGTTTGGGGGTAGACATTAGAAACTAATTCTATAAATGTTCATACTTGCTTTTTCATGTAGATTTGTAAACATAGAATCTTACATAATGAGAACTTAATCACTCCAGAGAGCTTATTCACTCATTGCATTACAGATCCAGGAGAATTGAGTCACTTGACTCAGGGTCACAGGAGTAAACGTGATAGACTAAACCTAGTCTGTTTATACTCTAGAATACTTTGAGGTACAATTACACAGAAATTGTCCACGACCAAAAGAAATACATCATTAAAAAGTTACTTGGTTCTTCCTAGCAAAGCCAAGAATAAATAAAGAAATAAATAACAAAGTAAGCTGAAGAATTACTTGTCATAGATTCAATTTTTGTTAGAAAACTAAAGTTTCAATTTTAAATATATATAGCACACACACACACAAATATATGTTTACATATACTTTCATAAATACACACACATACTCTCACACAAACTTACAAAAGCTTCTGTAAGAATACATAGCAAAGGGTTACCAATCATTACCTCTGGGCCAGGAGTGTTTAATCCAATTTAAATTTGTATTCTACATAGTATACTAAACTAATGCCCACTGGTTTAATAAATAATCACTTTTTGAAAGTTAAAAAGTATTGCCCAAGGATATGAACAGACACTTCTCAAAAGAAGACATTCATACAGCCAACAGACACATGAAAAAATGCTCATCATCACTTGTCATCAGAGAAATGCAAATCAAAACCACAATGAGATACCATCTCACACCAGTTAGAATGGCAATCATTAAAAAAATCAGGAAACAACAGGTGCTGGAGAGGATGTGGAGAAACAGGAACACTTTCACACTGTTGGTGGGACTGTAAACTAGTTCAAACATTGTGGAAAACAGTGTGGTGATTCCTCAAGGATCTAGAACTAGAAATACCATTTGACCCAGCCATCCCATTACTCGGGATACACCCAAAGGATTGTAAGTCATGCTGCTATAAAGACACATGCACACATATGTTTATTGCGGCACTATTCACAATAGCAAAGACTTGGAATCAACCCAAATGTCCATCAGTGACAGGCTGGATTAAGAAAATGTGGCACATATACACCATGGAATACTATGCAGACATAAAAAAGGATAAGTTCATGCCCTTTGTAGGGACATGGATACAGCTGGAAACCATCATTCTCAGGAAACTATTGCAAGAACAGAAAACCAAATACCGCGTGTTCTCACTCATAGGTGGGAATTGAACAATGAGATCACTTGGACACAGGAAGGGGAACATCACACACCGGGTCCTATCGTGGGGAGAGGGGAGAGGGGAGGGATAGCATTAGGAGATATACCTAATGTAAATGACGAGTTAATGGGTGCAGCACACCAACATGGCATATGTATACATATGTAACAAACCTGCACGTTGTGCACATGTACCCTAGAACTTAAAGTATGATAATAAAAAATATATATATATTAAATACAAAAAAGTATTGCCCAACATATGATATTTAAAAAGCTTAACGTATATGTCTGTCTTTCCTACTGTTATCTCTATATGTTTTCAGTAATTTATGTGCATGAGGTTAATCAAAATGCTACATCTTAAACGAAACCATTCATTTATGCAGTGCCTTTGTCCAGTTTAAGAGACCTTAAGAATGTTGAACCATTCTTTTCCTAAGCATGCTACATAAAAAATCCTTCAAAAAAATGTTTAACACATTTCAGTCACCCTGCTGAGAACCAATACACAAAGTCAAAGTGTTGTACAAAATGTCAACAGCAGATGGTGCACATTTGCTCTTCTTAAACCAGTTTTCCATTTTTTCCAGAAAAAGAACAAACTACCAAATACACACACACACACACACACACACACTCTCACACACACACACACACACACACTGCTCTAAAACATAAACAGCCTAACGAATGAGACTTCTTGAGAATTAACTGTAGGAATCAACAGCGTCGATCTATTTCAATCTGCAAATAATCTGCTCTTTAGAGATTTGGTTTCTGAATTCAGCCAAAGAAACTATCAGTTTTCAGCAATATACAGTGAAAATCAACAAAAAATTTCTTGTCAGAAGTCAGTAAACGGTATTAAAGAGGAACATGTTTGTAAGCATAGCAAGAGACAGAGGAGTATGACAAGATTATCACATCTAAGATGGGTGATACTGGAGAAAGATGGGAGAGGAAAATAACCAAAAGTGGGTTGATCGTTTTTTTCTAAATTTCAACTCTGAATATTACAAAGAACTTCTGCTTTGTAAATCACGCTTACATCTTCATGCCAAAACTACTTCATCAAGGGAAGGGTAATACTACAAAAGTTTAAACATGGCTGTGATCTGAGTCACATGGGTAACTTTATTCCTTCTTATATTTTGCTTCCCAGGCTCCATTCTATAATTTCTAAAACAAAATCTCTGAAGGTAGAGATAGGGATCATCTTGAACCAGTGATTTCTTCAATAAATAATATTCATCCATGAATTCCTAAATTGGATTTTAAAAAAATATCCATTTAATAAGCTGGCCTGTGCATTTATAATCATATATCCTTTTGATGTTTATAAAAATATATTTTAAAAATTATAGAGTGTTCAACTATATAAAGTAATTGTAATGATAAGCCAGAAGTAAAAATTAACACTGGAGTCTTATGATTACAGGAAATTTTAAAATGAAATATTTAATTTATGTACATTATTGTTGCAGAAGTATGATTAGGATTAGGTTAGCAATCAAAATATGATTAGTTCAAATGTAAAAATATATTGAATTTTGATAAAATTATATGGGTTAATGGGACAGAAATACAACTTCAATGAAAGAAAAAGAATGATGTAAAACATCCAACTGCTAAAAGAAGAGTTTATGTATTTTTATAATAAATGACGGTATCATCTAGCTATATTTAGATTCCAGTGGATATGTTTGAAGAAATTATGTTAATTACAAAATGTCAATACCTGCAATATGTTAGAAATCACATCTTTTAGAACCATTTAAACTTATGATGAAACTGTTTAGATGTAAACCTAAAAATATGTGAGTGGTTATATAGTTTTCAGTATCTTCTTAGAATTCGTATAGATCAGTGCTGTCACTATGATAAATTTACAAAAGACAAATGGGCTGACTGGTCTGTGCCCTAAAATCAAAGCTTTCCTTCTATAATAATTTATTCAGATCATAGACACATAGTCTATAAAAACAAGATTATTTATAAAATTATAGTTTCTAAATAATATGTTTGGAAATATTCCAGGTTTAAAGACTGCATATTACAAAGCAGAGCTTTTTTTTAACACAAACAAACAAAAAACATATTCATTCTGGTAAAAAAAGGTCCAAAAATGTGATTTTAAATGAATTCATTGCTAGAACTAATTGTAAATTTCTTTGTTTGCAAACATGATTTTGAAAACTTTTCCTAGGATCACCTGATATATGCTGTGGGAGAGAATACCCATTTTTAAGATAGGTCTTTACAAATGTATAATCAGGTAGGAAAGTTTAGTTCATAAATACATTATAGACTATTTCTAAGCCAAACTTTAATTATTTGGAATCACAAAAATGTAGGACGACACCTGCCTTACTTCCTCTGTTGATAGTGAAAGAGTGTTTCAGTGAATTTGTCATTTGTAAACTCATTGCCAATTCATTTTTAAACCTCATGTAATTATTTGAAAATATTTTAATTAATTTATTAGCCACATGTCAAACTTTTGAGGTATAGTACTTACCCTCTGTTATACTTTGCTATTTCATCAAACAAAAGTTTCCACCGAGGACGTCCAATAAACAGTCTTGAATTCAGTGCATGATATTTTTCTCCAATTATCTTCTGCCAAAAAGAAAGCACCACATTATTCGAGATTCAGTTAAGTAACCTAGTTCTCTAACATCATTTCTGCTGGTGCTGTGACTTCCCACTAAATTGCTGTGATATAAAGAATGTAAGTATCAAATGGCAACCTATTACGTACAATTATTTCAAAATATCATTTCCTTTCGACTTTCTTTTAAAATCCATTATCTCCTTGAATTGCATTTGTTTGTTTTTAAAGAAACAAACAAAATCCATTCTGGTAAAAAGGTACAAAAACTTGATTTTCAATTGAATTAATTGTTAGAACTAATCTCCTTGAATGCCATTCTGACAAATGGCTAATTTTCTTAGACTTCAGTTAGTTGTTTCATCTTTAAAGAACTGCAATGTAAGACAAAGAATGAATTCTAATTGGTCACCCTCAAAAAGGCTCAGCACATAGACTTCATTGAAGTATTTTGGCACCACAAATACAGTTGTCATATTTGGCTCATTATATAAGTAAAATACTACAAATTATCATCATACGTTTGGGAAATGATCCTAGACAAGACAGCTCAAGACAGCAGAACTCCAAAATGGGGTTTATCAATAAATGGCTGTGAATGGGCTCCTGTTTGCAATTAACAGAGCATTAGATCTAAATCAATATGAAGAGTCAGAGTGAATTGCAGAGAAAGGAGGAAGTATGTGAATCCCAGGCAGGCAAACTGAGAACCAAATGCAAATTATGCTTCATACCTTCATTATAGCAATGCCAGGAGGAAAAGTGATATTGACTTACTTCGTGAGAGTAGTAAAATGAAATACTTTTTACATACCAGATAGGGTAGAAATATGACCGGAAAAATTAGGGTTAGATTAGTTTTGAGGTAACTGACAAACATTCAAATTTTGTATTCGAAGTATTGTGAAAATGTATGACAAAAAGTACTAAAATACAATTTGTTAATGCATTCATGCCTAGATTTATACACCAGTCCAGCTCTTCAATGTTGTCTTCAAATATCAGTTTCATCATTTGCAAAATGGGAATATCATTTACTGCTTGACTGTTTTAAACTAATAAACTAATATATGTGAAATTCTTAGCACAGTGCCTAGAAGAGTAAATAAATAATGCATGACGGTTGTCATTATTTTTTAGTTTCCCTTGTCTAGAAATAAGCTTAATTGTATATGAACTCATCTTCTCTCTCCACATAAAATATCCCCTCAATAAAAAGAAATCACAAGGCTGTTCATGTGTAGTCTGAATTTTAGAAGAACTTGAGGTGATAGTGAAGAGGGGAGGGGTAGACTCAGACCTTTTGAGTCTGCCCCAGCTCCCTGTGAGAAGGACAAATGGAAGGCATAATATGGTTGACTTCAAGGACAAGCTATGACTTTTCTGGACATATTCCAAAGGAGGCCTTCCTCTAGGAAACTTCTGTTCAAACCACCTGCAGGAATTTTCTTCCACCACAGCTCCTACAGTAAATCTATTATCAAGAGGCTTGTTTAATTTATGATAACATCAACCACATACCTGTATCCCATCTGTTTGACTGAGGTACAGCTGGATGTTAACATAGTCAGGTCTGTTCTCTTGCCAAAACTGGGAGGACAGAAAAAGGAATAGGCTTATTAAAATTCTGTGGGTATACTCAGATTTTCTCCTATTCTAACATATGTGATTTAGAATTTAACATAACCTAGCTTATCATAACCAATATCTGTAAGAAAATGAATACACACACACACACATACATGCAAATATATATAACAGATTCTAACAATAATCTGGCCTCTTGGTATGAATGAGGTCTGATGGTGGTAGTGGTAGGGAATAATTTTCTGTTATCTTCATAGATACAAAATTTAGCATGCTAAATGCTATACAAATATTCTTAAATATTAGTCCTTCTGAAATACTCCTTATTTTATTCCTTAAGAGTCTCAAAATTGTACCAGTTTACTCATCAAGAACATGATTTTCTTGAGAAAAAAAGACAATAGTGATTTAACTTATGCATGATAGCAAATACAAAACAAAACAGACGCTTTTTCCTGTTTCTGCCTTCTGCTTATTCAGCAATGGGCTCTGGTTTCTCTTGTACAAAAATGCAAGAGGTAAAACATACCTGCAAAAATAAATAGTCTACAAAAAATATGGAACAACAACTCCTCATTTCCCCCTTCCCAAAAGCTTTGGCAACCTGAGAGGATTTTACTGTACCTGAATTATTTGAAATATTTTTAGCAAGGATGCATATGTAGAGACTATTCTACTTCCTGTCTTTGCAAATTAAACTACTCTAGGGACCTCCTATAAGTGACAGCATAATATATTTGTGCTTTTGCGTCTGGCTTATTTCATTTAGCGTTATGTCTTCAAAGTTCATCCACATAGTATATGTCATAATTTCCTTCCTTTTTAGAGCTGAATAGTATTACATTGTGTGCGTATATCATAATCTGTTTATCCAGTCATCTACTGATGAATATTTGGGTTGTTTCCATCCTTTGGCTATTGTGAATAATGCTTCTATGGACATCTGTCCAATTCCCTGCTTTTAATTCTTCTAGGTACATATCCAGAACCAATCTTTTTATTTATTTAATTTTTATTTATTTATTTATTTATTTATTTATTTATTTATTTATTTTGCAAAAAGTTTGGAGGCCTTTATGTAATCCACCTCTTCCCAGAAAAGCACAGACACCACCTCTCTAATTTCATCTCCTACTATTCTTTCCCTTGCTTACTCTGCTTCATCCACACAGATCTCCTTTCTCTTCTTCCAGGACACCAAGTATACTACTGCCTCAGAGTTCTTGCCTATGAAGTTAGATTTCTCTATCTTGATTTTTTTTTCTCCATAATATGTGTTTAGTCTGCTCATTCACTTCAGCCAAGTCTGCTCAAATGGCATTGTAACATTTTGTTTGATGGGTGTTCCTGAACATGCAATATAAATTAGCACACCCTCTACTGTTCACGCTGCTTTACTCCTACTTTCCCTTCCTTTGTCCTAACCCAAATCTCAGAACCTGATGCTCGATGTATTTATTGGTGGTTGTCTATCTTGCCCCCTTAGAATATAAACCACGTGAGATCAGAAACTTGATTTTATTTTGCCACCTGATAACTTTTCAGATCCTAGAGTAGTTTCAGATTGATAGTAATCAGTTAATAAATAAATATACACTGAATGATAGAATGACTGAATGAGTGAATACGTGCACAAAGAGGTATGTATAATGATATCCATTTCAGCGTTCTTTGTAATAAAAAAGTATCTAACATTAGAGAATTGTTCAGCAAACTAGATATATCTATACAATGAAATCCTCTAAAAGAATCAGGTAGGTCCACCATCTCTAATTGTTGGCACCAGGGAAAACAATAAGGTAGCTCTATATGCACTAATATCAAAAAATAGTCAAGATATAGTAATCAATTAATAAAGGAATTTGCATAAACAATATAAATAGTACAATAGGATTTATAGAACACTTAAGAGTTACCTCTGTTTACACAAATTAGGTAGGGAAGGTAGTAAAAGAGGATTTTACTTTATCAGAATTGTTTGAAATATTTGTAGCAAGGACGCATATGTGTATCACTCGTATAATCTGAATAAAGATAAATAGGTCAAATGTTACAGGTCGGATAGGAAAAGATGCCTGCTTTATCTCTGCAAAAAATAAAACACAGAATTTGGGGATTGTTGAGATTTTGTATCGTATACCAAAAAGTCTGGTGATTTGAAGTATTAAAGATGGCAAATCAAGGATAAGAGCTATCAGAACAGAGGATGGAAGATGTTACAGCAGGTGCCTTCCAGTAGTTCCCTCATTGTCTTCCCTCATCACCTTCAGCCATATGCATACATTTCCATGTGAAACACCCTATGTTTCATAGGAAATGAATGTTCCTATGTTAAAATATATTAGATATATATGCATACTCACAAATATCCATATCTGAAAAGATGTGTGCCTAATTGCTAAGAGATATTATCTCTGAGATTTTATGTTTAAGAGACTTATTTATTTCCTTGCTACTTATCTGCATAATTTCTATGGTTTAATCTATGGCAAGCATTTATTGCTTTTGTAATATAAAAGATATAACTATTTTAATTTGAAAAATTGCAAAACTAGAAACAACCCTAATGTTACCTTGTTATGCAACATACAGAGTAAGTCTGCAAACCAACGGAAGGACTGGATATCTCTGCATACCCAAATAAAGTATAGTCTTCTGAGCTTGTATGGTTTCCAGTCATCCCTTTAAAATTAAAATAACATGATAGTGATTAGGATGGCAAATGCAAATATTAAGGAATTCCTATATTTTTGAAAATTTACTTTTCATTAGTAAGCAACCAATAAAAATCAGTCATTTACATTCTAGCAGCTGATACAGCATTTACCATGAGACCTAAATGAATTTAATATGTAATATATTGACTCAAGGATATGACATACTTCATGAATTTAGGTGTTTAAGTGTTAAATGAATTTAAGTGTGAATAATATTCACAAGTATGCATATCATTCATTTCCAGTTGAAGGTCATAACTAAATTGAACCAGAATAATATCGGGCCTTGCATCTCAGAAAAAAAAAGTTTTCAATTTTCAGTGAATTCTATCACAGACTCAGTAGGGCTCCAAAGGTCATCCAGTCTTGCCCTGGCTTTTTGGCAAAATGAGCCAAACCATTCCAGAAAGTTGGTTGTTTATCCCCTCTTAAAAATCATTAAAGAAAGAGATTTCACAATAATGTACGACGTAATGCATTCCAGCAACTCATAATTCCAAGTTTGGATCCCCATTTATAAAAAGTAGGCTTGAGGTTAAGAAAATAGTCTTCCTTTTTCATAACATTAGGTAACCAAATAACTTGTAATGTGTTGTCAGAAACAAATTATTTCTAGCTTAGAGCATGATCATTTTTGTAAGAACCAACCAAATTTACATCTAGTATTTAAAACTGAGATAAAATATAATTCAAACACATCACTTAAATTTATTATTTCCTTTTTGGTTCTGAAAAAAAAAAGTAAATGGAATAGATTTGAGAATAACTTTCTACTTCTATTTTGCTTTGTGTTTTCAGAAGAGTATTGATCAATTAACTTTTGCTTATAATCCTGAAATTAAAATAAGTTTTAGTTTAGTATTTCCTGGTCAGATAATTTCACCTTTTTTTTTTTTTTTTTTTTTTTTTTGGCAGAATCTTGCTCTGTCACCCACGCTGGAGTGCAGTGGTGTCATCTCTACTCACTGCAACCTCCTCCTCCCAGGTTCAGGAGATTCTCATGCCTCGACCTACAGAGTAGCTGGGATTACAGGCGTGCACAACCGTGCCCGGTTGATTTTTGTGTTGTCAGTAGAGACAGGGTTTCACCATGTTGGCCAGGCTGGTCTTGAACTCCTGGCCTCAAGCGATCCACCCACCTCAGCCTCCCAAAGTGCTGGGATTACAGGCGTGAGCCAATGTGCCCAGCCACAATTTCACCTTTGAAGCTACTTTTCTTTAGTCTGTTGCAAATTTGCTAAGTGATAAATGAAGGAATGATGTGTTCAGTTGTCATCTCAGAAAAGCCTGACCATACTTTGACAATAAACCCAGCCCTTTATTTCCATATCCATTAATGTCTACCTTTTGTCATAATTGTAATATTTTCTGAAACAATTTTATTTATATTTCTCATTGCTTTCTTTTTTACCTGCCCCATTTGAATGTAAGCTTTTTAAGGGTAGGGACTCTGTTTTCATTAATTGCTGTCTTTCCAATACCTGTAAGATCTATTGGCAGATGGGTGCACAAAAATATTTGTTGACTGAATGAATGAGTAGAACCACTTACCACTGATGAGGATATAGAGAAATGAAGGATGGAGGTGAATGACTTCTAACAGAGGAAAAGGACAGAGGAGTGCATAACTGTGATACGACATCTTTCTACAAGAGAATATGCTGGGAGTCACAGACCACATGTTGAGAATCACTGAATTATTCCCCTCCTCAATCAGTAAATGGAGGTCCTTGATCAACAAGTAGAATAATTCAATAAGGAATTATTTTATACTAAAAAGAGAGATGTCTGAAATATTGGCAGTTCTCTATTTGGGTTAATAAATAGATCAAAATGACATACAGCAGGGTGTTGAGTATTGATGCAAATGGAGTTACTCCAATGCCTCCAGCCACACAGAGGCTGACCTCATAGTTCAGTGATTCCTCAAACGGACTTCCAAAAGGACCATCAATATACAGCCTGTAGAGCAGTCAGACAAAGGTGGGAAAAAATGAAAATAAGTTAAATTAATTTTCTGTACCATATAATAAACACGCTGAATATAATCTCTACACTTTGTTATAGGACAGGCCTTATTTCACTGATTCTCATAATGGTCAGCCTAAAGGAATAACAAATGTTGTTTATGAATTGTCAAGATTAAAACAAGTACATCTGTTTCTCAGTATGCCTTTTTTTGAGGAACTATTAATTAAAAGTATAGAGTAATGTAAATATGATCATGCCAGATAGCTAAGGACAAGTTAAAGCTCTGATCATATTAGATTACTATATGGGACTAAAATAAAATAACAATTGCTTTACTGTGTCTAAATTCAAAAAATATTTTTTTCCAATGGCAGTAGTAGAAATGCTTATTTAAACCTTTACTATGTGAACAGAAAAATAATAGGAGTAAGGAAAAGAATTTGGCACTGTTCTTCCTCTTGGCCTGGTTGTTCATAAGTATAGAACTTTACTTATAAACTGATAGTTATTTAGCTGTAAAGAGCAGTCACAAAGGAAGCTCTGAAGTTCTAATTAGTCTGCTCATGTTTATATATTCAAGTGTGTGTGTGTGTGTGTGTGAGAGAGAGAGTGAGCATAGCGAAATCCTTCTTAATGCAATAGAAATGCTAATTGTTCATATAATAATTCATCCTCCCATTCTTTCTTAGTAACAGACAATTAATTTTATTCAGGGAAGCAAAATGTCCAGCCAAAACAGTACATTTCTCAAATTCCCTACAACTGTTTTGGCTGTGTGAATATATTTTGGCCACTGCCCCCTCCTTCCTACTCGTCTGCTTTCTGAGCTACACACCCACACACACACCCTCTCCACTCCCCACAAAGCTACTCTTTGGTGTTTGAAATAAATCTGGACAGGACAACTAGAACTCAGTGTTCTAGTCATTTACTAGGGTTGGGATATCAGACAAGTTACTTGTCCTCTCTAAACTGGATTTCCTTCATCTACAAAAGAGTCAATAAGATGTGATACTACAGAAAAAAAAAGTGTGCTAAGAATTATAGAGGGCCACACAAATATCAGAAATATATTTTGTTAATGGCATCAATCAGTGCCTACAGTATACTGACAGGCCTTCTGGGAGGCCCAGCATTGATGCAAGAAATGGGCTAAGTCCTATGAGCTGGGAAATGTAGGTGGGAATTTGGTTTTAAAGCCCTTAGAGAATTAGTTGTTTTTCATTTGAAATGCTTTCTTTTTTTTTTTTTTTTTTTTTTTTTTTTTTTTTTTTTTTTTTTTTTTTGTACCAGGAGAGAGAAAACTTTGCTTTTCTTGGAGAAAATAAGAAGATAAAATTACTAGTAATTTATTATTTCATGACATCCAGTTTTTTGAGGGAGACGGAAACTGAAACTGCTTAAATCACTTTTTTTTGCATATTTAATCTGATTAATGTGTGAAATATAGTGCCTTTCATTTATGAGCAGTGACTTTCTCCCTATCATAGTACACGGTCTTTAAAAGAATGCCATGTTGTTATTATCATAACATATGTAACCAGATTGTAGAAATTACAGGCAACTCTTTAAAGTCTTGCTATAACATAGTAGAGATGAAATCAATTTGACACATTTTTAAACTTTAGTTGATAACTAATGAAAAGAACATCTATGAAGGATTGTGGATCTAAGATAATTCTAAGAATAAGAGATATCTTCTTCTCTGACCCCCTCAGAAATATATAAACATATTTTACATTTAAATTTTTCCCTTGAAAGCAGTATTTACACTTTAAAAAACTGATTTAATTCTTTCATTAAGATTAATGAGTTTCAAGCTACATTTCTATTTTATGTGGCTGAATGTAAATATACTTGTTAAAGCTTTTAACATGGTGCCTGAACATAGTGAGAACCTGATAAATATTAGATATTTAAGAATAATATAATAAATACTATATTATTATTAAAAGTAAAGGTTTGTAATTTATAACATTTAATGTTCATATAAGTGTAAAGTTTTGAAAAATATTTGCCTTTTAAAATCTTTTCTAATCGGCTGTCACTTTAAACAGTTCTTTTAACTAATAAAAAAATTTCAAGGGTCTAGTGTAGTGGCTCACACCTGTAATCCCAGCACTTTTGGAGGCTGAGGCAGGACAATTGCTTAGGGCCAGAATTTTGAGACCAGCCTGAGCAACATAATGAGACCCTTGTCTTAAGTATTAGCTGGGCATGGTGGCAAGTGCTTGTAATCCCAGGTACTAGGGAGGCTGAGGCAGGAGGATGGCTTAAGTCCAGGAGGTTGAGACTGCAGTGAGCTGTGATCACACCACTGCACTCCTGCCTGGGTGACAGAGTAAAACTCAGTGTCCAAAAAACATTTTCTTTTTCAAGAAATGCCTGAGATTCTTACCTCAGAAACCTAAAATAAGTTATAATAACAATGGATACTCTTCACCGAACATTTAATCCAGGGTTGGTACTGAATGTTCTATGTATACCTTCACTGTTAATCCACACAACAAATTTCATAGGAAAGTATAATGCCTATTTTATTGCATTGGGAACTAAAACTCAAAAAGGTTAAATAATTTTCTTAAGGTCACACTTATATTAAGGGGGGAGGACTTTTACTAAATTCATTCTGAATCTAACTCCAAAGTTAGATTCAAAGTTACTATTTTTTTAATAATCAGATAATAATCATTACAATTATCAAATATTTTGGTGAGGTGTATTATATAAAGGTAAAAACAAAAAAGGTTCCAGGACAATTATCATCTAACAATTCTCTCTTCATGTAGGAAAAAAGTGAGTGTGATTAACTATTCCTCCAGAGAGGATGGTATTGCAGTTTTAGACCATTCTAGTCTCAGGAGGTAATCATATCAGTAGAAACAACAAACAAAAGGAATGAGTTTAAAGTGTGTGATGGTTCTCCCTTGATGGTTTTCAAATTTTACTGTGTATCAGAATTTCCTGTAGGGCTTGTTAAAACACAGAATGCTAGGCCCTATTCCGAGTCTTACTGACTCAGAAGTCTGAGCATTTGTAGTTTCCACCATTCCCCCAGGAGATACTGATGTTGCTGACAGAGCAGGTAAGGAGGGTAAGGAGTGAGCTAGTGCAGGTGGTGATTTTACAGAGGGTCCCTGACTTAGGATAGTTCGATTTAAAATTTTTTGACTTTATGATGGAGTGAAAACAATACGTACTCAGTAGAAACTGTACTCAAAATTTTGAATTTTGACCCTTTTCTGGACTAGTGGTATTTGGTACAATAGTCTCTCATGATGCCAGGCAGCTGCCACAGCTGCCAATCAGACACATGATCATAAGCTTAATCAACCAATACTGTACTCTACAGTGTACAGCAGCATTCAATAGAGGTAGGTAATTTTTCAATCCCTGCCCCTCTCCCTCCCCAGTGTCTATTGTTCCCATTTTCATGTCTCTGTGTACCCAATGTTTAATTTTCTGTTTTTGCACATAAACAGAAATAAAAACAAATAACTTATTTTCATCTCAATAGATGCAGAAAAAGTTTTCGATAAAATCCAACATCCCTTTATGATAAAAACCTTCAATAAACTAGGCATATAAGGAACATGTCTCAAAATAATAACAGCCATCTATGACAAACCCACAACCAACACCATCCTGAAATGGCAAAAGATGGGTGCATTTCCCTTGAGAACCAGAACAAGACAAGGGCGCCCGCTCTCACCACTCTTATTCAACATAGCACTGGAAATTCTAGCCAGAGCAGTCAAGCAGGAGAAAGAAAGAAAAAGCATCCAAATAGGAAAAGAAGTCATACTGTCTCTCTTTGATGATGATTTGCTTCTATACCTAGAAAACCCTAAAGACTCTGCCAAGAGAACTGAAAAATGACTTCAGTAGTTTCAGTATACAAAGTCAATGTACAAAAATTAGCAGCATTTCTGTATACCAGTAACATTCAAGCTGAGAGCCAAATCAAGAACTCAATCTCACTTACAATAATTTGTAATTATTATCTAATGCAATCTCATGTTAAAATAAAAGCAACATTATTTGAAAAAAAAAAAAAAAAACTCTGACATTTATCTCTTGGAATTCTGAATGATTCAGTTCAGTCAAGGCCTTACAAATTAATTAATTTAAAGTCTGCAAGGATAAAAATTCTTTGGCAAGGAGTCCCCATAAAATAATCATGCTATCAAAATTATTCTCTCATAACCATTACGAATTGTTACATTTAATATAAGATTTTTAACAAAGGAAGGATTTTAGGCTACTTTGTTGACTGACAATTTCTGCTTAAAAATAAAAAAACAAACCCCAAATAAACAACAAAAATTTCTCAAACCTCAAAACTAAAGAGTGAAAAGATGTATGGCAGCTGAATACAGGATAGGGTGACAAAGAAAGTAAATGGCTCTCAAAGGCACTAGATGGAGACTCACCTGTGCTTAATCTATCTCCAGAAAGTGGCTACTTCCCCAACTTGTTCTGTGATTTTGGCCACCTAACCTCCAGTTATAGACTCAGCTTGGCCCTATCCTTCAACCAATTCTTATCTGAGTCAGGAATGAGTTGTGCTCTCAGTCAGCACTAAGGCTTGTTCATTGCTTGCTCATTAGCCTTGCACTAACACAGCTTCTTGACTTACATCTCTGAGCCAAAATCTTTACAATTTAAGCAGTGCCTCAGTTTTATAGTCCTGAAGACAGGGTTTTGCCTTGTGAATCCCAGTCCAGGGGTTGGGATCCACTACTTGCTGATGGACCAGCATCCTTTGGACATCCTACTTGCCTAGTTTTGCAAATATCAATAGCATTTGGCATTCTTATAACTACATTCCACACTCTAGTCAGAATACTACCTTTTAGATCTCTTGCCATCCAAGTACTGGAATTTCACATACTATATAAAAGAAAGTCTAAATGTAAGGATTAGAAGATGAAAGATAGTAATTCTTTTATGAAAGACAATATGTATACTGTGGAAAATCTTATGAATTA